CTACTAAAATACCAAAATTAGGCTGGCACGTGACCCACACCTGTACTCTCAGGTACTCTGGAGGCTGGACGGGCAGCGAGAATTGGCTTGAAAATCCCAGCGAGGCAGGAGGGTGGTGGCAATTTAGCCCAGTTGGCCCACTGCACTCCAGCCTTGGTGCAGTAGATGGAGTTTCACCATGTTGGCCAGGCTGGTCTCGAACTCCTGATCTCAAGTGTTCCACCCACCTTGGCTTCCCAAAGTGCTGGGATTACAGGCGTGAGCCACCACACTCAAACTATTTATTTATTTTTTTAGAAATGGGTCTTGCTCTATCACCCAGGCTGGAGTGCAGTGGCATGATCATGGTTCACTGCAGCCTTGAACTCCTAGTCTCAAGTGATCCTCCCATCTCAGCCTCCTGGGTAGCTGGGAGTACAGGCACAAGCCACTTCATTATCTGGGTCACCTAAGGGTCTGTTTCTTTTGTTTTGTTCTGTTTTTTGGAGACAGAGTCTTGCTCTGTCACACAGGTTGGAGTGCAGTGGTGTGATCTCGGCTCACTGCAACCTCCACCTCCTGGGTTCAAATGATTTACTTGCCTCAGCCTCCCGAATAGCTGGGATTACAGGCCCACACCACCATGCCCAGCTATTTTTTTTTTTGTTTTAATTTTTAGTAGAGATGGAGTTTCACCATGTGGGCCAGGCTGGTCTTGAACTCCTGACCTCAAGTGATCTGCCCGCCTTGGCCTCCCAAAGTGCTGGAATTGGAGGCATGAGCCACCATGCCTGGCCTCTTTTGTCCATTTTTTTTTTTTTTTCTCATTTTCAATCACATCTTGTCCCATTGTATGACTGGTTATTTCTGATTGAGTGGTGGCATCCCATATGAATAACTGTAGAGGAAATTGGAGGCTCTGGGAGGCATCATCTTCCTCCAGAGAAGACAGATCTTTACTTCTGGCAGGCGGCCAGACGGTCGGTCAACTTCCAATTGCTCTTACTCCTAGTGGGTGGCCCCTCAGGGACCCAACCCAACCCAAAGCTTGAGGGTTAGGGGACGCTTACGAGGGTCTTTCAGCAGGCCTTGAACTTCAGCTCTCTGCCCCTCAGCCCTGTGTGCCTGTGAAAAGCTCTGCTCCGTTCCTCAGCTCCTAAGCAGCTGTGTAGAGGAAAAGTGTCCCAAATGCCAGGCTCACCTCTCTAGGTTCCCTCTTCTCCCAATCTTGAGCTCACAATTCATGACTGCCTTGCAGGCCCTTTAGTACTATCAGATTGTTTGTTTGTTGAGACGGGGTCTCCCTCTGTCTCCCAGGCTGGAATGCAGTGGTGTGATCTTAGCTCACTACAGCCTCCACCTCCTGGACTTAAGTGATCCTCCTACCCCAGGCGCTCACGTAGCTGGGACCACAGATGCACACCTCACAATGCCTGGCTTTTTTTTTTTTTTTTTTTTTGAGGGAGGTTCCCCTAGCTAGCTCCATGTTGCTCCCTGTTGGACTGTTGTCCTGTCTTGCTTTATGCCTGGTTTTTTTTTTTTTTTTTTTTTGAGTGAGTCTGCCTGAATTACCCTAAGAATTGCTAAAAGTGAGAGTTGCTCCCAAATCATCTACAATACAGACATATTATTTTATTAAGCAGAGTAATTTCTTTTTTTTTCTTTTTCTTTTTCTTTTTTTTTTTTTTTGAGATGGAGTCTTGCTCTGTCACCCCGGCTGGAGTGCAGTGGTGCAATCTTGGCTCACTGCAACCTCCACCTCCCAAGTTCAAGCGATTCTCTCACCTCTGCCTCCCGAGTAGCTGGGATTACAGGCATGCACCACCATGCCTGGCTAATTTTTGTATATTTAGTAGAGATGGGGTTTCACCATGTTGGCCAGGCTGGTCTCCAACTCCTGACCTCAAGTGATCCGCCTGCCTCGGCCTCCCAGAGTGCTGGTGGCTCACGCCACCATGCCCGGGCCTGAGTCATTTATTGCCTAAAAAGGAAAAGACGTATTAGAGGACCACAAGATAAAGTGGAAATCCCTCACCACAGCAGGTAAAGCCCTCACCATCAAGTTACCATATCCCTTACTGCTTCCTTCTCACGGTTCCCTTCCTGAACTCAGGAAGCCGTCACTGGCCACGCGGCCCTGAACAAAGGGCTCCTCTGTGACCCAGAGTGAAGGCCGGCCCTGCTGCCTCCCGAGCTCTGGTGATGGGAGCTAGAAGGGTGTCCTTCCTGTCCCTGCACCCTGTCCCAGACACTGGAGGAACTCAGGGTGTGCTGACAAGCACGGGGGAGGTCCTGACCCTGAGTGTTGTGGGGGTGAAGGGGATCAAAGAGCCCCAGGAGCAGGTAATGCCTCCTCTGCTGCCTGCTTGCTGGGAGCACCTCCACTCCCTGCTTCCATCCCAGCCTGGGCACAGGGTCCGGTCACTCTGTCCTCAGGACTCCAACGGCCTCAGCACAAACTCCCACTTCCTCAGCACCAGTTCAGTGTCCCGTGCCCAGATGTCGTGGTGCCACACGGCGACTGCTCTGTCCATAGGAACAGCGGCATGCACACCACGTGGCCAGTGTGGGCCATCTCATCAGCGCTCCCAGCCCGCAACCCAGCCACGCTCACCATCACTATGTCTGTCTCCGTGAAGGTGGGATCAAGGGAGCAGACGGACAACACCAGCTCCTGGAGTCCTAGGCCAGGCCCTGAGGTGAGTGGAGACCACCCCAGGCTCTGACCCTGACCCCATTGTCCAGAGAGGTCACCCGGGAGGCAGGGGGCAGTCCAGTTGCCGTGGGGGAAGGAAGAGCCTGGCCTTTGCAGTCACACAGACTGGGCTCTGCTGCGTTTAGCTGTGTGATCTCAGACAAACCTATGACCTCTCTGGGCCTCTGTTTCCTCATTGTGAAGTAGGGACGTCAGGGGGTTGTTGGAGGACTCAGTGAAGAGATGAAAGACCCGGGTTAGAGGCTCTGCCAGACTCTGCGGAGCATTACAATTCTGGCCACCCACCGAGGGCTGCCTCCGGCTGGACTCTGCACTCAGTAGGACCTGCTGAAGCAGCTGGTGCCCTGGGTCCCGCCCTAGTGACTCAACGGCCACCCTGAGTCCCAGGGTCCAGAAGCCTGCAGACCTGCTGGGGGACCCTCCATGGCACAGCTCAAGCCAAGTCAGAGGAAGCACAGGGAAGCGAGGGTGGAGTGTCCTGTCCAGGCACCTTTGGTGAATCTCTGGGCGTTCCCGTGGTCCCGCTGCAGTGCCTGCTCTGTGTCAGCCAGTCCCACCAGGGCCGCCGCGGCCAGCACCCCCACCTGGTGCACGCCTCCACCCAGGGCTTTTTGGAGGCACCAAGCTTCTTCAATGAAGTCCTTGAGCCTCCCAGCACCCTACTGGGGCGCCCAGGCCCTGGGAGGTGGCGAGGAGAGACTCCTGCCAGCCCACATCCCTGTCCTTGGCCCGGGGTAGGCACAGATGCATAGCCCTGTCTGCAGAGGTGTTAAAGGGGAACCTGCGGCCGGCTGCCAGGGATGGAGCTCAGGAATCCAACACTGCCTCCTGCTGGGGCGCCCCACCCCACCTGTCTGTGGGAGGCCAGCCCAGGGCTTTCCCACCTCGGAGAGGCAGAAAGACACAGAGTCACAGTGCTCCACAATGTGGGTGGTGGGACATGCAGGGCCAGTGCCATGTTCATCAGCTGGGCCCCATCCAGGTGGACCTGGGCCCTGTAGGTCTGGGCCTGGAGGTGCACCTGGGGACGAGGTGCAGGCAGTCAGAGGGGCCGGGCCTGAGGGAGGCATAGAGGGAAGAGGGGTCTGGGCTTAGCTGCCTGAGGAATCATGAGGGATCAGGAGACCTGGCTGGTGACTGGCTCTGGCGATCTGGGACCTGAGCAGTCAGGCTGTGCTGCCTGAGCCTCCGTGCTGGGCTCTGGGAGGGGCTGGGGGTGCACATTTAACCCAGCTTTGTCGCACACTGACCATGGGCCAAATGCTAGCCGTGGGCCAAGGGTAAATGTGTGTCACCTCATTTAGGCTTCACGACAACTCAAGGGAGACGCCACTGCTCCCATTTCACAGGCAAGGAACGCAAGGCTTGGAGGGTTAGGCTGCTGCCTAATTAGTGTCTGGTAAACAGCAGAGCTCCGACACTGCGGCGTCCTCACCTCGCATGTGGGTGGCAAGGACCAGGTGGAGGGCACTCACACACGCTCGTTCCTACAGCCTGACGGGGCATGTGTTTCCAGGCCAAGGCAGCAGACCCTGGTGCTGCTCTGGGACTCGGCTCTCGGGGCTTGGAGGTGGGGGCATCTCTGCTCTTGGGCTGCTGCAGGCACTAGGGGCCCTGGCCTGGGGCAATAATTCCCTTTGTGTCTCAGCCTAGGACCATACATGTGTCCTTCCTGTGACAGGTCTGGCCACTGATGGGTGCCCATGGCACAAATCAGAGGGGACTGAACCCCAGGATGGGCCAGGGGCACAGGAAGCCAGGATCAGGCTGGTGGAGGGCGCACAGTGGTGGGGCCGGGCCTACCTGGCGTAGGTAGTCGATGGAGAGGACCCGGTCCCCCCAAGGTGCTGTGTGAGTTCTCCAGGCAAATGAGCTTGCAGACCTGGTAGTAGGTGCTCCGGAGGCCCCATGTGATCATCCTCTCCAGCTCAGCCAGGTCCAGGGTGCCATGGGGCAGGTCTGGAAGGGAGTGGGAGTACACTCTAGCAATCTGTGGGTCAGGGAGGAGATGAGGGCTGAGGGGTCCAGGGGCACCTCCTGGCGGAGTGGGGGGCTCCTCTGGAGTAAGGAGCCAGACCCTGAGTTCTGTGCCGGCTCCCCTGAGCCCTGGGCATTGAAGATTTTCCTCTGTTCTGTGCACCTGAACAGACGTCACAGCTGGGGGACACTGGGCCGCTCCCCTGTTAACTCTTCAGATGCTGCTGTCTGGCTCCCGTCGGGAGCGCGGGAGTGCTCTGAGTGCCCACTAGAGGGCAGCAGGCAGCAAGCACCGCCCAGGTGTCTGCCCGGCAAGCCTGGGGCCAGCCCCAGCCGCTGCCGCCCCCACGTGGCAAATCTGGGGCTCTGCTCTCCTTCCTTCCTCCCCTGGAGAGGCCACCATCCCAGCCAGCTTCTCCGTGGCTGTCCCTTTCTTCCCTCTGCAGGTCTCAGCCTGGGGCCTTACCCCTGAGCAGCCTGTGCTGGCTGAAGGATGCCCAGGGCCCCAGGTGAGCAGTGCCTGCTCCTTACCTGAGCCGCCCCCACTCTGCTCATAGATGTGGAGGTGGCACTCCTGCCCAAGGAGGAGCTGGGAGCCCCGGCACCAGCAGAGACACATCACTGAGACAGAAGGAGGGCAGGTCTTGGCACTGAGTCTGGAGGCATGTGGCCCTGCTCAGTGTGGCCAGGCTGAGCCCTAAGGCTACAGCCAACTCAAGTGCCTGAGGCCGGCAAGGAAACAGCACCTTCAAGACACCTCAGTGCCACGTGCCGGAAAACCATCCGTTAAACACACAAGTCTAGGATGGCCACGCTGTGCTGGGAATCGCTGGGCCACGCCCAGCCTGCACACCTGCACCCCGAGGCGCCTCCGCAGAGCATCACCTGCTGGAGAAGCTGCTGCAATGCTGCTTCTGGGTGGACAAGTCGCCAAGGCACCTGCAGGCGTCAGACCCTGGCAGGAAACAGATGGCACACACACACTGGGAAACTGGCAGTGTTTAATCATGGGATGGTTTATTGAGGGGGAGGCAGGAGCAGGGAAGCCCGGAGGACAGGCCTGAGGGGTGAGAGGAAGGCGTGGCTGCAGGAACCCAGAGCCAGGGCTGTGTGGAGAGGTCCCTGGCGTTGGCCCAAAGGCCCTGGGGACCCTCGGAAGAGGAGCTGGGGAGGAGCAGACCTGTAGCCCCCACTCTCTTCCTCCCCCATCTCTTTCCAGGGCTCCCCACCGGCTGAACCAAACAGAAATGCAGGAATGTGGTCCACGAGTGCCACAGCTCCCCGTATGCACTGAGGACCCGCTGGGTAGACAGAAGTCACCCTGTGCTCACCAGAGATGAGGTTGGCCATAGTGTTGGAGGGCACAAAGAGGGTGCGCTCCAGCCCTAGCAGCTCCACAGGCATTTCTTGCAGCTCTGTGGAGGGACAGGGAAGCCATTGTGCTCGCACACTCGGGTGTCAGCACCGTCCACACTGCTTTCCCTGTGTCACTTGGGCCAGAGCATGCCCTGAGCCCAGGTGAGGCCCCTAGCCCGAGACTCCGGTGAGCGGCCAAGGGGGTTTGGAGCCCCGTCCACCAGCTGCACACTCTGTGGGCTTAGGAACCACACATCCAGCTCCACAGGGCCCTCAGTGAACTCTGCACCCCACCTCCCCAGGGCCATGGCCTCTCCCCGCTCCCCCCAAGAACCTCTCTTGTGGTTTGAACCCATCTCTGGCAGGCCTCACACCTGTCTCACTTCCTCTCCCCTCAGCCCTTTGCAGGTGGGGCCTGTGGTTTCTCTGCTGACTTCCTTTCCTCATCAGGAGGGGTGACTGGGGGGCTGGACAGGGCATGAGGGTGCAGCTGGAGGGCAAGGAAGGCTCCCACTCTTGCTGTAAAGCCCACTGTGGTCTCCCGCAACTGTGGCATCAAGTCCTTAGCATGACACTCAGGGCTGGCATGACCTGGCCTCTGCCCCCAGTTCCTCAGAGCCTCCTGCACTCTCCACTCCTGCCACATACCCACCTGAGCCCTGAAGACCTTTCTCACTAGTCTGCTTCTGCTCCTGAAGCCCCTGCCCTGTGAGCCGGCACTTCCTTCCCTGCCTGGGATGCTTGCACTCAGCCTGCAGGAGGGTTCCTCTGGGAAAGACCCTTCCCCATGAGCCACAGCCTCTCCCCATCCTCTGCTTTCCAGGGCACCCTCTATAGACTCCCGTCAACTCAAGCACCTCCCCAGCCTCCCCTTGCGTGGCAGTGACTTGTTGACATGTGAGGCTGCCTGGGAGCATGGAGGTCAGCATCTCTGGCCACACTAGGCGGCAGCTGGATACATGCTCAGCCCCAGCCACCCCTTAACAGACGGGACCTCGGGATCCAACTGGCGACCCCATGGTTTGTCCTGTCCTAGCTGAGGGGTGTGCACACCCCAGCAGTCAAAGTGGTTCACTATGGCAACTCACAACCCAGGGCTGGGGCTGGGGGTCACTGTACCCTGGAGACACTCCCTAGGTTATTATAACCCACTCCTTGGGAGGTGCAGCCTGTAGAACCTGCCCCTTTCTACATCTATTTTCCGTTTGCCTTCTGTGGGGGAAGGCAGTGCAGGAGAACAGTTGTGGGTTTCAGAGTCAGAAGACCCGCGTTCAAACCTTGGTTCTGCCATTTACTAAGTATGCGGCCTGGAGCGCCTCCCTCCACATCTCAGAGCCCTCCTGTGCAAGACTGGACATCACCCATTTCAGGGGGCAGCTGGGTGACAATGCAGGGCACACACAACCACCTGGTGAGCCTGTAGAAATGCAGGTTCTCCTCAGCGGGCCCTGAGAATTGGCATTTCTTTTCTTTCCTTTTTTTTTTTTTTTTTTGAGACATAGCCTTGCTCTGTCGCCCAGACTTGAGTGCAGTAGCGTCCAGCTCACCGCAAGCTCCGCCTCCCGGGTTCATGCCATTCTCCTGCCTCAGCCTCCCTAGTGGCTGGGACTACAGGTGCCGGCCACCACTCCTGGCTGATTTCTTTTTGTATTTTTAGTAGAGACAGGGTTTCACCGTGTTAGCCAGGATGGTCTCAATCTCCTGACCTCATGATCTGCCTGCCTCGGCCTCCCAAAGTGCTGGGATTGCAGGCTTGAGCCACTGCGCCCGGTCTCTCTCTTTCTTTCTTTTTGAGATGGAGTCTCGCTCTTGTTGTGCAGGCTGGACTGCAGTGGGACGATCTCGGCTCATTGCAACCTCTGCCTCCCAGGTTCAAGTGATTCTCCTGCCTCAGCCTCCTGAGAAGCTGGGATTACAGGCGCCCAGCACCACACCCGGCTAATTTTTGTATTTTTAGTAGAGATGGGGTTTCACCATGTTGGCCAGGCTGGTCTCGAACTCCTGACCTCGTGATCCTCCCGCTTTGGCCTCTCAAAATGCTAGGATTACAGGCATGAGCCACTGTGCCCGGCCGGAATCTGCGTTTCTAACTTTCAGATAACAGCTGCACGCACGCAGAGGGCAAGCCTATCCTGTGGCAGGTGTTCATTAAACCCATTTATGTCGGAGGTTGCAATTTTTTGAATTGTTGCCATCAGACCTTGGCGATGACCTTGAGCAGTAGGCTATAAATACCTCCCAGATGCTTAGTGTTCCAATAATGGAACACTAGGCATAAATGGGTTTTAAGCTCCAGCAGAGCCACCTCCCCTGCGTCCCAGTCCACCACGGACAGCGCTCTGTTGCTGCCTCCACGACCCCCGGCCTGCACGCCGGTCTTCGCCGTAGTCGTCCCCCACGACCGCCTCGGCCATGGCGCGCCTCATGGGCGGCCCGGGCGTGGTCACCGTGTCGCTGCGCAGGCCCACCATGGGGGCTGCGACCCCCGCGCGGCTCCCAGACCCCCGCGCCCGGAGAGCCCCATGTACCGGGGCCGCCGCTCGGGCCAGTCTGCGGAGCATGGCGCGGACAGCGCCCGGATCCCCACCCCGACGGGAGCTGCTGACTTTTGTACTCCCCAGCTAGGGCGGCGGGAGCGGCGGGGTCGGTGCGGCCAGAATCCCTAGAGCGGGGAAGCAGCAGCCCTGGGCCGTGGGGCCAGAGAGCGGGACCCGTGGCACGCTGGGAGTTGTAGTTCGCGCTCCCTCGCGGCGTGCCTGCGCGAGCGTCTGAGAACGGGCCCCGTGGCACGCTGGGAGCTGTAGTTCGTGCTGCGTCGCGGAGGAGAACCAGCGAGCCCGTGATGCTGGAGCAGAAGGTTCTGCTCATTGAAGGAGAAACCGAGGCCGAGCGAGTTTTGTTTGTTTGTTTTTTGTTTTTGTGTGTGTGTGTGAGAGAGAAACAGAGTCTCGCTTTGTCGCCCAGGCCGCAGTGCAGTGACGCGATCTTGACTCACTGCAACCTCCGCCTCACGGGTACAAGCAATTGTCCTGTCTCAACCTCCCGAATATCTGGGATTGTGGTTGTTTCTTGTGTTTTCTTTCTGTCTTTTTTTTTGTGGTTTATATTTTTAGTAGAGATGAGGTTTCACCATGTTGGCCCGGCTAGGTCTCGAACTCTTGACCTAGGTGATCCGCCCGCCTCGGGTCCTCCCAAAGATGCTGGGATTACAGGCCGTGAGCCACTGCGCCTGCCCCGGGGTGAGTTTTTATAGCGCAGACGCTCGTGTGGCACTTGCTGTGTCTCAGTTCTCTGCCCCAGGCCGCTGCATGAAATTAGCTAGTTAAGCTCCAACACTCTAGGAGACTGAGCTCTATGCTTCCCTGTCTCAGTATGGGGAACGGGAGATCGCTGGAGCTAACAGACAGCTGGATTCGGCCTATTGGGTTAGGAATTGTGCGTGTGGCGGGTGGCCGGTTGTCTCGAGTATGTATACTTATAACGCCGTGTCATCTGCCTCCTAAACGCATGCTTCCTCTTCGTTTTACTGTTTTCAGTATTGATTGTTGAGTTAAATTCGTGTGCTGGCATGTGTATGTGTCTGTGTCATATGCATGTGTGTGACAGTGGCAATGGCTTCACACCCAGGTCCCAGGTCTTGAACTTATAGTGAGTATTGCTTATTATATATATGTGGTGCTGTGGAGTCTTCCTTCGCCGGTCCAGTAGGCCCCTGCCCTGGCAGGACTGCTCCATTTGTGTGGGCAGGGTGTTGTGTGAAGTTCAAGCCAGCTGTGTGGCGCTTGGACAAGACACGTAGCCGCGTTGTGCCTCAGTTTCCTCAACTGCAGATTGGACTGTTGTGAGCATTCAGTGACTGGATATGTGTTTGGTGCTGACCCCAGTGCCTGGCTTGCTGTAAGCTCAGGGTGGTCACCCCACTGTGGCTATTTTTACATTTTTTAAGACAGACAGAGTCTCACTCTATCCCCCAAGCTGGAATGCAGTGGTGTGATTACCCCTCACCACAGTCTTGACCTCATGGGCTTAGGTGAGCCTCCCGCCTCAGCCTCCCAAATAGCTGGGACTACAGGCAAGTGCTACTATGCCCGGCTAATTTTTCTGTCTTTTTTGTAGAGACAAGGTCTTGCTGCGTTGCTCAGGCTGGTCTCAAGCTCCTGAGTCCAAGCCATTCTCCCTCAGTCCCACAAAGTGCTGAGATTAGAGGCGTGAGCCACCGCGACCTGCCCAGCTGTGGCTGTTATTATCATTGTCGTTACTGATCCCAGCTTGGAACCCTGAGGGCC